TAGCTGACTCCTCTTAAATGCTTTGGCTTATTGTATCTCCCAACTAGTGCCACAGCTAACACACTCCGTGGTCAAGTAAGTGTGGGAAATGCTGAAGACTTGAGGATTTACACTGCAGAATAAAAACTTCAGAACACTAGAAAATTCTGCAGTAAAAAATGTTTTTAACTTTTCTTTAAACATCCCCTCATTTTTCTCCCTTTGTAGCATAGGTAACATTCCTAGGAGGGCTCTTTGGGAAACCTTTCTTTAGAGTCAGGAAACGTTCATGAATATAAATACCTAATTAGGATGCTTGGTTGATGGATTTCTTTCTTATGACCAACTATTGTAAGGTGATTAGTTCCTGCAAATTGCCCTTCATGAAAGAAAGTTCACACATATTCTCTCACTGCCCTCCACCCATTGTCTAGAGCCTACAACAGAAAATTTGATGTATTATGATGTAAATAGAAAGGTCAGTCATGTCTATCAAGACCAGGGCTTGTTAGAGAAGCAGAAATGTGCCCCTTTTCCAATGCTCTGAGTCATCTCCCTGGGGTCAGTAACTTCCTAACTTCTGGAAAAATAAAGGAACAGGTAACAAAGTCCTTGCCATTTTCTGAGGAAAGGAGAGAGGGCACCCAATGATGATTTCTGGATGCTGAGAGAACTACTGACTGATGGGGAAGGGGAAGCCCTGCCCCTACCAACCCCTGAACAGTAGTGTGGCTGCCCAGTTAGTGTCCTGGGCTCCTGGAGCTGTCTTGTTCAGCTCCCGCCATCACTGGCATGTGATGCTCATTCTATAGAGGTCTGGTGGTAATGACACAAAAAACCCATAACTCATTTGTTCATCTTCTTGCCCCTTCAATCTACTCTCCCCACTGCATTCAGAGAGGTCCTTCCGAAATACATTCATGTTTACCCCCCTTCCTCTGAGACCCTATTGAAATGGTAGTGTAAACCCAAAGTGATGAAGAGTACAGGGTAAGGACCATAAGCAGGTGAGAGGATTTAATAAACTGAAATAAGGAGAGCAGAAAAAATGAAGCAGTGTCTGGGGAAGCAGCTGTAAAGGGTCTGCAAAGGGTCAGCTGAGGAAGGAGAGCAGAGGACATGGTGTCATTACTGAGGAGAAAGATATGGAAACCATTGCAGACAAAGGGGTAGGCAGCTGCAGAAGGAGCCACCTGCAGAACCCAAGAGAGGCTCAGAACTTGGCAACTCCAAGTATTACCAAAGGCAGGAATTAAAAAGGGGGTCAAAAACAGGGAGGATCCTTGAAAATCTGCATAAGGAAGAGTCAACCCCTCTACCGACTTTGTCATCCCACAGGGAGATGTTGAACATTCAGATGTCTACTTGGTAGGCAAAAAGCAAATACTTGCAAAATATATTGTTATTAGCTGAATTGGGTCTTGCCCAACATTTGTATGTCAGAGTTTTGGTCCCCAGTACCTCAGAAAATGACTGTATTTAGAGACAGGGCCCTTAAAGAGATAATTAAGGTAAAATGAGGTTGTATAGGTGATTAATCCAATACTGGTGTCCTTTTAAGAAGAGAAGATTAAGACACAGACATGCACAGAGGAAAGGTCATGTGAAGGCACAGGAAGAGGACGGTCCTCTGCAAGCCAAGGAGAGAGGCCTCAGAAGAAATCAACCTTGATGTTGGACTTCTAGCCTCCAGTAGTGTGAGAAAGAAAATTTTTGTTGTTTAAACCACCGAGTCTGTGCACTTTGGTCTCGTAGCCCTAACACATTAATACCTGTATTTTCCTTAATGGAAACTGAACAGTTCCAGAGAAAAGTTCTCTGTAATGTGAAATTTTATGGGTATCTCCTAATGACTGCTTCACTATCTGATCACACAAAAAGGAGGGCTGCTTGGAGACAGGGTCCTTGTCCTTCACAGAGAGTTTCCATTCAGTTTTGCATTGCCTAATTCTTAAATATGAGAATACAACTCTTCACACATAGGGTTATCTCAAGAGATTTAGGGGAAGTCTCCAACATAAAATAGAGGAACCAAGATAAATACAAAGAATTACCGAATCACCTATCCAAAATAGCTAGAGAAGTCACTTAACCTCTCTGGTTCTCATTAAAACCAAATGACCTCTTCCAAGTCGTTTCTCAGTGATTTGATGAGATCTAACTTCTGGCAAAATTGTGGGGAGTTAGCAGCTCCTCCTCCCCCTCCCCCTCCAGGATCTAGGCATTTTGTTCCTCAGCCCTAGTCAGAGCCACTTTGCCTAACCAACTACCTACTGTAGAAAAATCTCACAGTAAGAATAAAACAGTGATGAGAGAGCCAGCCTGGAACAACGTCCTCCATATGTCCCAAGAAGAGAGAGATGTGAAGAGATTTGGGGTTAGTCAAAGCCTAGAATATGTTGTATCTTCTCTGGAGAATGCTCTCAGTCCTCCCCAGCTACACCCATGGTCTTATCCCTTTCCTAGTTCTTCCTGTATATCCATTTACCTGAATTTCCCCTTCCAAATCTACTGTCACCTCCTTGTTGATATCTAAGCTGAAATATGCCAGTGGGAATAGAGGAGGGTTCATCTCTTACCAACATAAAACAATTTTCTTCTAAAAGCTGAACCAGTTACCATAATAATGATCCATTAACAACTCTGAGCTTCCCCAGAAGACACATTTCTTTCTCTGTTCTCTTATGTCAAAAGTACATTCCATGGAGCAATGTTCCAGTTAGGGGCTGATTAATCTAAAAACTGCCAGAATTTCTCTTTCTATCTTTCTTTGTTTCTAAGAGCAGTTGTGGATTGGTATAGACCCAAAATAGAAGTTGAAATATGCCTTGCATCACTTGTCATGTTAGCTACAAAGGAAACAGCAGAGGTAACCAGAAATGAGGAACAGGAAATTTCTGATAAACAACTCTGATGGTTATCTAGAAGCTGAATTGAATCATAGACACCAGAGTTTGGAATTGCATTTTGAATTACAGAATTAGAGGTAAGTGCCTCCCACCTATACAATAGTGTCAACTTATTTCAAAATTTGAGTGTGGTTTTGTAGGCATTCCATTCTGTAGTAGTGCTGGAGAGCATTTATTTATCAGGATCCCCTGCAGCACATTTGAATTTGGAAAAGGAAATGATTAAAACAACAATAACAACCCGGGTGCTCCTGAAATGGACACTATCATGAATGTTAATAATATTTGGAAGTAATATGAATGAGGTTATCTTTTTACGGGCTCAGTATTCATCAGTGAAAACATACAACTGATGAATTCAGTCCTATAATCAAGCAGTTTAAGCCTTTACCAATATAGACTGGGAGATTAGAATGCATGCTTCTGTCATGGGTTTGCACTGAGTAGACAGATGACGATTGTTTAACTCATGCACCTCTCACTGGTCCTTTCTTTCTCTAATCTGGGAACAGAAAAATCCACAATTAATTTCAGATTCTGAGATCAGAGACAAAGGAGGAACAGTGAGGTTCTGGGAGAACTTAAAATCTTTGCTCTACCCCTGACTGACTCTGGTTTGTGCCCCTTCATCGTGAAAATAGCTCTTGCATCATTTTAAAAACTTGAGCAGTGTTTCAAAAGATTTATCGGTCTTGCCTTTTCAGTCTCATAATTCCTTTGTTTGTTCTTGAGAGGAAAAAGCAGATAGAGGCTTAAAAGCTGGATGTCCCTGCACTCCCATCTCCTTGTTCTTTATTCTTATCCAGCCAGAAAGGTGACGGGACACTTTGCCTCTAGCAAAGGGATATTTTCAGATACTGAGTTGCTGCCTGAGACAACTGGTCAGAGAAGTGAGAAGGGAGAGGAAAGGGGAGGATCCAGAGTCACCTCTATAACTGATTGCTGCTTTCCCCACAGGACTGTGTGTTGATAGACAGAATTCCGTCGCACTTTCCCCATCCTCTCCCTTCCCATTCACTGTCTCTTTTCTGACCTTTGGTTTGGCCTTTCGTAGTAAGAGGTCAAATCTCTTGGGAAATCTCATTCAAGAATTTTTGTCAATGGACAAGTCATAAGAAGCCCTTCCATTTTAGGGCTCGTTGACGTCACCAAGGAGGCGATAAATATCTGTTGATATAATTGGATGTGAGATTCAGTGTTGAGATAGCAAAAATTCTGCCCCTCGTTCCCTGGCAGGGCCCTATGATTTATGCAGGAGCAGAGGCAGCACGCAATCGAGCTGTCAAGAGAGCGTCAGCTTATTAGGCAAATGCTGCGTGGTTTCTGAAGAGGGTCGACGCTATAAAATCCCACTCCAGGCTCTGGTGTGGAGAAACTCAGAGCCCAAGTCCTTTGAGAGACTGAACAGAAAGAGAAGAGGGAGAGAAAAAGAGAGTGGGAACAAAGAGAAGAGAAGAAAATCCCCTGAAAAAGCCCCGGAGACGTTCCTCTGCAGAGAATCGCAGCGCCTGGCTCACCTGCAGAAGCGCCTCAGAAGGTAGGGAGCGCCTAGACGGAAAGGCGCCTCCAACTTTGCCCTGTTTGAGCTGCCACGATGCCGCGCAGCCGGCTGTCCCCAGGCGTGTGTGTGCTTGTGTGTATGTGTGTGTGTGCGGACTGTGCCTCAAGGTTCCGATAGTAACTGGGCTGTGGCAAAAGCAAACTTAGACGGCTGCTCATCGTACCCGAACTTGCAGTTATTCCTCGCAGGCTGTGTAGACGAGCCCCCAGTCCACCCCGATCGCCGAGAGGATACAAGGGCAGGGGTGGAGAACGCGGAGGAGGTGGCAGCAGTTCTCAATCCGGAGGACAACGCTGAAATCATCCGGAAAGGGGTGGGGGTTGAGGGAAGTTTTGAGCAGGGGAGATCTTAAATTTGTAGGTCTTTTCTAGAGCTCGGGGAATTGTTTTGGGGGATTGTTAGAATGGGGACTCAGGGACCGCCCCCTCGTGAGTCTCGTAAGAGTCTCGGCGAGGGGCTGAGCTTTGGCGCCGAGCCGAGCAGGTGTCCCCTTCCCTGCTCCAGGTCTCACTCCAACTGTGGAAGTCCCATTCGGGCGCTTCAGCACCGCGGACAGCACCCGCCCGAGCCCCCGTGCTGTGTCTGGGGGTGTCCTGTAGAAAGACCCCAGCAAGTGCACCTCCCAGTTGAGCTCAACTCTGACCAACTCTTTCTTTCTCTTTCTTTCTCACAATGCCCTCTGCCCACCTCTGTGCCGCAACTAGCGCCTCTGACATGCGGCTGCCGCTGCTCCTGTCCGCGGGCGTCCTGCTGGTGGCTCTCCTGCCCTGCCCTCCATGCAGGGCCCTCCTCAGCCGGGGGCCCGTCCTGGGGGCCCGGCAGGCTTCGCAGCACCCCCAGCCCCTCGATTTCTTTCAGCCGCCGCCGCAGCCCCAACAGCCCCAGCAGCCGCAGGCTCGGCCCGTCCTGCTCCGCCTGGGGGAGGAATACTTCCTCCGCCTGGGTAACCTCAATAAGAGCCCCGCTGCCCCCTTGTCGCCCGCCTCCTCGCCTCTCGCCGGCAGCCGCCTTTCGCCGGACGAGGTGGCGGCCAACTTTTTCCGCGCGTTGCTGCAGCAGCTGCCGCTGTCCCGGCGCCCGCTCGACAGCCCTGCGCAGCCGGCGGAGCGCGGTGCCGAGAATGCCCTCGGCGGCCGCCAGGAGGCACCGGAGAGGGAGAGGCGATCCGAGGAACCTCCCATCTCGCTGGATCTCACCTTCCACCTCCTCCGAGAAGTCTTGGAAATGGCCAGGGCTGAACAGTTAGCACAGCAAGCTCACAGCAACAGGAAACTGATGGAGATTATTGGGAAGTAAAGCGGTGCGTTTGGCCAAAAAGATTCTGCATTTAGCACAAAAAATAAAAATAAAAAATAAAAAAGAATACGGTATTCTGTACCATAGCGTTGCTCTGATACCATTTGTTTATTTTTATATAGCTTGAGATGCCCACACTCCTTAAATAGCATGCACAAAGTGTATTCACCTGCAGTAACAGCAACAAAATGTAATTTGTATTGTCTACTTTTAGTTTCTATTTCCAGGTGTCTTTAACGGTGTTTCAAAGAGAGTATAGACCCAGGGGGAAACATTTTGAAGAAGGAGACAAGTCACCCGTTGATTTGGTTGTGGTTTGAGCCAAAGAGATTGTCATTCTCTTGGGTACGTGAGAAAAAGATCTGTCGGCTCTTTGAATCAACTTTTCCTTGTAAATGTTTCCGTAATAAAACATCTTTCCTCTTGGTCAATGTGATTGTGTAAGAGAATGTTGAATATTTATATTTCTAATAAAAGCTGCAAAGGTAATCATGACTTTATTTTTCCTCTTCATTGCTCACAGGGGAATAGTCTGAGCTCCTCACTTCCTCCAAATTGACTTCAGCACAAGAAAAAAACAGAACTCCTTGCATTTTATTTTCTACTAAAAACACAAACATATGTCAGTGCCTCACACAGATCTTACAACCACCTTGAACTCACCTCTGTACTCAGATTGCTCCTCTGAGGATGAGTTTAAAAATTTGAAAAGTTGTGTCTAGCTCTAAGGCTCAGTAATTCTATAAATGGAAGATTCATTCATAATGGAAGTAACATTTAACCCTGATTAACTATAAGACATGAAATAATTGGGGTGGGTGGGAAAGGAGGTAAGGAAAAGAGAAGGGTTGAGGCAAAGCTTTCCTCCAATTATAGGGCCAGAATGCTGCATTGGTGTTTTGCTTCTTTTTTTTTTCCCCCTATAAGAAAGGCTTTATCAAACCATTACTTTGGTACCATTAAATTTTTTCAAAGCTATTTTCCACTGCTGACTTCTAATAGGGGAAACTTGATAGCCTCTCCACTTAAAAGAACTAAAAGTAGTTGCTATAAAATGGCCCTCAGGAATATTTTTCTTATACAGCTTATTTTGACTTTAATAACTTCACAAACACCTCCTTTATGTCTATGCCAGCCCTAATTACTTTAATTCTTAGAAATATATACTATCGCTATGCACTTCTAAAATCTAACAGCACACATATTTAGTTGTACCAATTAGTTTAGTTATAACTTAAAAATTCAATCGAATGCTTAATACTTCAAAGTTAATCTGGATGTATGAAGATGCTTCTTCCCTTGGGACCCTTTGAATTCGCTTGACTAACAGATTAATAAGATGATAGGAAACAATAAATCATTGTAAGACTAAGTTGTTAAAAACAGTATTTATTTAAGAGTTCATACAGAGTAAAGTTATACTTATGTTTTGAAGAAGGCATTATGGTGGGACAAATAAAACATGGTTTAAATATATATGTACATGTATAATGTGTACTGTGTGTGAATATATATATATATATTCAAATACATGCAGTTCTACAGTTCAGCAGATTGGTGCCTTAGTGGATACATGAGAAAGCAGACAGTTTCTATTGAAAAGTCTTTTTCCATTAAAGTGCCTGATATCTGTGTACCTAAAACCAAGATTAGAAAAATGTCAAAAAATGTCCTAGGCCTTTAGCCTTCTGGACATTGTCCAAGTGTCACCAGAGTCAAAGAACATTTCTGGACATCCATCCAGCGACATCTATTATGGAAAAGATGAAACCTCTGTGAAACATTTCATACCTTTGGTCAATGATTTATCTCTTGTCCATATATTGATAAATCGGTCACTTCTGAATTAACACTGACTTTCACTGCCCACCTGCATTGTTAAAGAGGAAAGAGAATACAAACTACTTCGATGTCATAACAAAAGCTGGTGCCTATTAGAGACGAGAGTGTAGTGCCCCCTTTTTTCAACACTTGCCACTTGTTAGTGACGCATGCACACACGTACCACACCTACACACCCTTCAAAATGTTTCCCACACAATCAATGATTTGCATAAGATCAGGTTTCTTTTTTTTCCAATCCTTTCTGCAACTGTTTTCTCAAAGCATTGTTTTCCCTCAATGTGTTAGATAAGTCATCTGGAATTTAAGGGTATTTTTTGTAGAAATCCTGTTCAGAGGTCCCTTTCATCATCTGCATGATTTTAGTTTCATCTAGGTTCCCTACTGCCTGCATACATCTCAGCCAGGCAGACAGAGGGGCAGCAGCTGGAATGAACATCATTCATTCAGGGAGTTCAACCAGGAAAAGGAGAAGACATGGCGAGCTGGCTCAGAATCAGCTCCACTCCCTCTCCCTGAAGCCGCAGGCTGTCCCTGGAGAGGAGGGTCCTCAAAACCAGTCTGCAACAGAAGAAAATCTGTGTCAGAGGAAGAAGAGGCTAGTCCTTTTTGAATTGGCCCAGCCACTTTTCTACTGAGGAGAAAGGATAATAATAATTATATAGAACATAATTATTATTAGGGATGGAAAGCAAGCTCGTGTTATCTTGGCCATGGCCAAGAGCCATGAAAGGAATTCACACTCATGACCCCAAAAGGGGCAGCAGTAACGCATGCAGTAGAGGAACGTTCTTGGGAAAGAGTCCAGGCTATTCTACTGTTCTTTTAAAGTCCACCTGGATATGATTTACTGAGGTGAAAGTCACATTAAAGCTAATCAAATCTGGGTTTAGAAAAGTCTACAAAATAAAATCCTAATTTAAATGACTTTGCTACACCACATGATGTATTATAATCACTCCACTGCTAAAATCAGAATTTCTACTAGGATGTGAAAAAATATATATATATATATGTAATTTTTGCACAAATGCAGGCATAGTTTGAGCAAATCATGAATAAAAGGACTTTTTTTTCCCTCTAGGCAATAAAATCTAATAACATCAACATCTCTAAAGGGATATCTTTTATAGATACCAGACAGATACAAGTTATGATTTTTGAAGTAACTGATCAAAATCTAAGCTCATAAGTGAAATGTATTTATGCTTTGAGTCTAAATAACAATAACTTCGTGGAATGAGAGACAATCATAGACAAGTCTTGCTGAAATTCAATTTGCTGTATAAACTCAAACTCCTTACATTAAAGGTACCAGACAAACACAGTTCTTCCTAGGAGAACTGCCAAACACACAGACTAACATATTCTGCTGACTTCACTGGCAAAGCTCCCCCCACCAGATTAGGATGCCACTGATGTCAAAGCAATGAGGTATGCACGTGCATTCAACCCAGAAAGCCCAGGCTGAATTTATGAAGCTGCTATTCTAATGGACAACACCTGCCACAGGCAAAGCAGAAGTTTGGTGAGTATGTTGTTCTGTTGCCACTCAAAACAGTTTCAAGTGAAAAATGAGGGCTTGTCCTGCACTTTACCAGATTTTACCCTAATTTGTATTTTGGGGTAATGTTTCAAGTTTAGTAAAATTATCCCAAGTTCTTATGACTTTGGGATTATCCTTCCTTCTGCCATGTTTCTCCCTGATGGCAAATTAAGAAGGGTCATGGACTCATATTAGCCACAGTAGAGTAAAAAAGCACATCACTTTCTATTAAGGAATGGTTAAGACATAAGTGTGATTGGGATTTTTTTTTAAAGGCTGTTATTAATTCTGTTGGTAGTGGGTGAGCTACCTCTTTGTCCTTGAAGTTGAGGTGGCGTAAACATCCTGACAGAGCCCTGTGCCTATTTATGCACATCGAACTCTCCTTTCCTCCATCATAGTCACCTTAATCTCAAGAATCCTAAAAATAAGTAAATAAATAAATAAATAAATAAAAAGCAAGTGATCTGGGCATATCATTGACATCTAAAGTACCTTTTTTCTAACTGTTCTATATGAGTGAATAGTGGATTCTGCCTACGGACCGTCAGGGTTCATTTTGCAGTTTCTTTTCCTTGAAGGCAATTTCTAATCTGGAGGACATTTCCCTGACAGTTGTTCCAAATATCTAAAGGGTAAAACTAGTTGGGTAAGGTATTTTCTACAGAGGAATAGGGTCTTTGTGACACTGCTGGTGGCTTACAAATCATTGGGACTGCTTTTGGAATCTGTATATATTTCTTTGTTTTTCTATACTCGAGATTGAAGTCTATCTTCCATTTAAAATGTTTTAGCTGTTAATACCTGTAAGCCTTCAAAACTTGGTATGAAATAGTTTGGATTTGCCGCTTTTATACCCCCATGTTTTCTGTCAGTTATTAGATTTTCCACTAAACAATATGAACCAACACTACCTTTCAGGGAAGAAAGGCTGGTGCCAGAGTGGGACCAAGAGCAGAGAATATTCTGAGTGTCTATAGGTGATAACACTGTCTCGTTGGTATTGTGTATGTAAATGAGACCCCTCAATCATCTCAGCAAGGAAGTTTTGTGCAAAGAGGCTTAGCCTGGTTTTGAATCCCAGACCAACAATTTATTAGCTGTATGACTCGGAAAAGTCACTTAACTTCTCTGAGCCGTAGTTTTCTCTTTTGTGAAACAGAGATGAAACCCTATCTCACAAGGTCGTTGTAAGGACTGAGTGAATAAAGTAATACACCTAAAGCACTTTGCACATGTCTCACTTATATTAAGTGCTTCATAAATGTCCATTTCCTTCCTTCCTTCCTTCCTTCCTTCCTTCCTTCCTTCCTTCCTTCCATCTCACATCAGTGAAGAGGTGCCTCTGCCAGGCAGAATCACTGGGGCCTATTTATACAAGGAGGAACTGTATACAAGAGCCACAACCCCCAGTAAAGAAAGATGATTGTATTTGTGATGCTCATCTTTCCAGAACCGGACACTATTTATATGTCTTAGTTCCTCTGGCATGTTATAACCATGGTTATCCATTACCCATTCCAGTGTGTCTCCAAGTAACCCAACTTTATATATGGCTCTCTCATAAAGGAAGAATGAGGTAAAGCTTTAGAAACCTTTCTATAAGCACAGCCCATTAAATCATAAGCGGACGTTTTCCCTACAGCCTCCCTCAAGTGGAACTGTTCTCCTTTGAATAGTTTTCCAAATGCTGGCTCGCCCTCATCACACGAAGTCCTGTTCCTTGGGAATAATAATGTCCCACGAAGCTGAATACAGGGCAGAGAATGAGAAGCACTGATCTCCTCTACCTGCTTTTGAGCTTGTCCTGCATTCCAGTTTAGTCTGAGGTGTAGGAAAAGGTGAAGAGAGGACTGTTAGTCCCAGATTATTTCTAAATTTTACAGATTTTCCTCAAGTGACAAAACAAATGAACTAACTTACAACCATCATTTAACACTGCTCTAGCAGCATGGGGCTTCAGATAATTTGAGAAATATGAGTTTTAGACATAAAATAGAACCAGGAAATGGAACATGGAGGCAGAATTTTCCATATCAGTGGTGAGATCCAGTTCAGTTAAGATCCAGAGAAGACCAGCAGAAGGGAGAAATAGACCTTTACTTAAAGAAAAGATGAACTTGACCAGGAATGCTGGGTATTCATGAACCAAACTCACTCAGAAACACACAATCTTTTATTTTCCTTTGATTTCTTTCCTGTTACTATCAAATGTCCTTTGAAAGGGAAATCTTAATGTCAGATTTTGGTCCTAGGGTATCTTTTCCCTGCACAGAAGAGCAGAGTGATAAGAGGTGCTTCTACCCAGAGCTGAGTGATGTGCAGGCATCATCTTTGGCAAATTGCATCATCTAGAACCATTTCTTGGTGCTGGGGATTAAGGAGCATGCATTCTTCCCATGGCTTGTGGACATCTGTCTCTGTGTGCAGGAGAGCTCCAGGTTATAGCCAGTGTTTGCTTGGCCTGAACTGCGTGGCTGCATGGTATTTTGAAAAAGACTTGAATTAGTTGCAAACATTAAAAAATCAGGAGCAAGGATGTGGAGAAACAGAAACTCTTGTGCACTGTTGGTGGGAATGTAAAATGTTGTAAAATAGTATTGTGGTTCCTAAAAAACATTAAACATAGAATTATCATATGATCCAGCAATTCTATTTTAGGAGTGTATACCCACAAAAATCGCAGGCAGGAACTCACACAGATATTTGCACACCCATGTTTACAACAGCACTGTTGACAAGCCTAGGAGGTGAAAGCAATGCATGTGCCCATCAGTGGATGACTATAATGCAGTGTACACATGTAATGGAATATTACTCACTCTTAAACAGGAAGGAAATTTTGACACAGGCTACAATATGGATGAACCTTAAAGACACTAGGCTGAGTGAAATAAGCCAGTCACAAAAATACAAATACAGTATGATTCCACTTACATGAGGTGTCTAGAGCTGTCAAATTCATAGAAACAGAAAGTAGAATGGTCGTTGCCAAGGGCTGGGGGAGGGGCAATGGGAAGATGTTGTTTGGTGGGTGATGGGTATAGAGTTTCCGTTCTGCAAGATGAAAAAGTTCCAGAGATGGATTGCATAACAGCGGGAATTTACTTAATGCTTCTGAATTTACAAGTAGTTAAGATGGTCATTTTTATGTTAGGTATTTTTACCACAATTAAAAATTTTTAAATTGGGAGATTTCACATTAAAATCTGGATTTGCACATCCTCTTGCCAAAGCAGAAACTTAGTAACCCAGAACCTGCCGAGCAGCGCTGTCCCTCTGGGCTGGGATGTGCCCCCCACCCTCCGCTGCTTTCCACAGTGCACGCCCCTCCCCTTGGCCTCCCCCGCTTCAAGGCTGGTTTCCATGACCACTTATCACTGTGCTTGGACAGTTGCTATGCTCAGAGGAAAGAGGAAAACAAAGAATATCATGTACTTATGTTTCCATCAACATTTCCCCTCACCTGGCCTGCTTTTTCCTTAATGTCACCTTCTTGGTCTGTAAAGGCGCACAAGGTTGTTGCTCTTAATAAAAGGTTCATTTTTAGTAGGAAAGTGTCAAAGAAAAGAGAGTAAAATTCTCAACAGAGTCTGGCTTGATTTTTGTGCTTAATGCGATGAATTAAAAAAAAAAGCCAATGTGCTTCTTGTGGTGAGATTCTTGACAAAGCATGAAACTGCCTTCAGTGTTTAACTGAGGCCAGATGCGCCCCTGGGCGCTTAGCATCGGGGCTCTACCTGGGTGCAATTTGGGAGGAAATTCTCTTGTTTTGGTGTTGGGAGTGATACCAGTAGCCCCTTTACCTCAATGCAGCTCAGCCCACTTTATTCACTGACTGAACAAAACTCAGCAGACGCTTCCCTGATACTCACTCCGGCATATGTCGGGTAGCCACATTTATGAGGGGAATTATTTTTTGCTGGCCTGAAATACAAGCGTGAGCTCTGCCAGTAACCAGCGCCCTCGGGCTGCCTCCTCCCAGGGCCTCCTTAAGGTGCCAGCCTCAGCCCTT